TTGATGGCTTTCAGGTGAACGACTTGCTTGTTCTTGTAGTAGTCATTCAGATGGCTGTTATTGTTTTTTATTTTTCCTGCTGGTCTTTCTTTCAAGAAGTATCTCTGTTCCTCTAGCTACTCCAGGCTGGTCTGCTTATATTTTCAAGTGGAAATTTCCCACCTCAGAAGATTTCTGGATGGGGATCAGGATTCCACCTAAGGTTCTATACAATCTGAACATTCTTTTTATGCTTAGTGTAAATATAGATCCTTAAGGGGTTCATGAATGGACTTCAGAAGGCTTCACGAGCCCCTCAAGTTGTGTGCAAAACTCTCAGTAATGTACTTTCGTACATTTTCCTTATAAAAACAGAGTGGAATGTCTCAGCAGATTTTCAGTAGGGGTTTCATACCTCTGAAAGTTAAAAACATTACTGGTATACATTATTTTAGTTAATTCAACATCTCAAGAACAAGGGCAGAAAAAAAATTCCCTCTAGCTTGACTAGTCATGAGTCCTCCCTGGACTTTGGTTTCTACTAGATGGCTGTGTTGGCTGGCCTAGATGGCCCCACACATTCTTTGCATTTAAAGAATCAATCTCAGATATAGAGGAGAGCTGAGACAAATCAGCATGGTTTATTTATGCATTTTAAAATGTGCGTACATGATATACACACATGAGGGGGGCTTCAAAGAGTTTATGGACAAATGGAATTAAAAGATAATGGAGATTTTACACAAAACTTCTTGAAAGCTTCTTGTATGTATATATATATATATAATTCCAATGATGGGTCATTGGATCACTAAAAACCAGAAAATTAAATAACACAGTAATCTGATGCTTTCTTGGTATCAGATACAGGAAGACACTACAATGAACTCACATAACATGTTCTTAAAAAGAGGGAGGGATTGTTATCAGGACTGATTGTGAGGGTTGGAAATGTACAGGTAGACGTTTTGTAGCAAGGATTGGAATGATTAATTTTGCAGTCTAGGAACGGTGGTCCCTGGGACCATGAAGGGAGTAGAGCAGAGAGTGGGACCCTACCCAGAGAAGCAGTGATGCCTGAGATGGAGGCAGAGATGATGACGTGGAACGATGGAGCAGCTGGGGACTTTAGACCCAGAGAGGGAGAGGGGCTGTGTGCTGACGACCGGGGGGGGGGGGGGGGTGGGCAGGGGGGTGGGGGTGGCGTAGGGGCAGGCTTGTAGGACATACCCTTTGGTTGGTTGATGGTACATGGAGGGGATTGTAACCATGACAATGAAAGGATATACAATAGGATGAATGTAAAACTAATGTTCTCCTATGTAAACTACCACATAATTCACAATAAAACATTTTAAAGAAAAGTGGGGGGGGGAACCACATTGAACACTCTGCACATGAACATGCCAACTTGTAAATCATTTGAGATGGGGACACTTATACACTGAAGGGATATTTGTTAGACACTGGTACCTGACACGAAAAGAGACTAAACATTTGCAAAGGTTAATACTATATTTATTTTGTTGTTTAGAACTGTTGAGTCAGTTCTGACCCATTGTGATCCTGAATAGGGTTTCTAAGGGAGCGCCTAGTGACCTTGAGCTGTTGACTTTGCATCAAATGGACTTTTCAGTCCAGTGCATGAACTCATAGCACCACACCAGGACTCCACTACTATATTTACTTTCTGGTAATCAGCAATTGAGAAATGTTAATGCCTGAAATGTTGTTGTTAAGTGCCATTGAGTGGGTTCTGAGTTCATAGTGACACTGTATAGAGTTTATGAAGAGCATCTGGTGGGTTCGAACCACTGACCTTGTGGCTCAAACTGACCAGCGCAAATAGTGTATGCAGTGCCACACCAGGTGAGCAAAAACCTTGATGAAAAGTTGATGTGGCCACTTGTTCAAGCCCCAGAGTATTGAAGTCTGCTGCTGTTAATTCTGTCCAGTGCTTGTTTGTGAATAATTGTATTAAGGTATTGGGCAGAATCATCAGAGAACTACAAAACAACTTCCTTAGGGCCTTGCTGAAGACTGATGGGGAGTCTGGAGAGTTGACCATGGTTATCAAAGGCACATATATTTAAAGTGCACAAAGGATGAGTCCAGAAATTATCTGCCTGCCAACCTAACTTCTCTACCTGGAACAAATTATCCAAAAATCAATTTGCAAACACATTGGAGATAACGAGGTCTTGAGTAATAACCTTCATGGCTTTGTAAAGAAAAACACCCAGCTTGACTAATCTGCTTAATTTCCTTCTCTGACCAAATGGCCACCTGTAACACAGGCAATCAGAAGTTGTCCCCGAAGATTGACTTCCAGGCACACTGAGAAAATATTGTCCATTCGTGTTTCATAGCAATGACTGTTTCCAAAGAACCTCTGTTGCTAGGTAATTAATGAGAAGGAAAACAATAAAGGAATCTTTTGCACATCTATCCCAAAGACCTCATCTGAGTTCTCGACTGAGCTTCATACCTGTGTACCAGAGGTTCTCCTGAAATAGCATGTTCTCAGACACATCCCCATTGTATTCCACCCCTCAGGTGGTCCACCTGCCCTACACACTTACTGGTTCTGCCCCAGGAGTGAAAAATACCCATAGATAGATCATTTTATCCCTGGTAATTGGTCTTAAAACATATGACACAGTAAGGACTGAGTTTTTGGCACAATGATGTTTATTGAAACATTATCTGTCATGGAAGAATTAGAATAATTTATGTGACCAACAGTTGGGAATAATTATTGTGATTATCTGAGGGATTGTTCTCTAGCTATTAAAGATGTTAATGGTGAAGCCCAAATAGTGTATGAACAATGTGCTTAGGATGTAATAAGTAAGGAAAGAGAAAGTAAAACAAAACACATTTACACTGGGTCTGTGTGTGGTTAGAGCTACTTGAAAAAAGGTATCATTCTGTTAATAGAGACTGGAATAGAACAAAGAGAAGCAAAATGGTTACTTTAGGTGGTGGGAAAGCGGGCCCGTTTTCTCTTCCTTCTCATTTCCTTATTGATTTTCCAATGATATTTTTGCTACAAATAAAAATAAAAATGTGTTTTCTGTTTGTTTTTTTTTTAAATGAGTGGTGGTGGTGGTGTTCCATGGAGTTGGTTCTGACACATAGTGACCTTGCATAGGGTTTCCAAGTCTGTAAATCTTTACAGGAGCAGAAAGCCTCTTTCTCCCAAAGAACAGCTGGGAGTTTTGAACTGCTGACCTTGAGATTAGCAGCCCGATTCATAACCACTACATTCAGGAGGCATAGAGACTCCCAAGGGGAGAGCTGGCCTGGGAAGGTTTGTAGACCTGGGTTTTATCCTGTCCTTACCCGCTCCATGATCTTGGTTTAGGTCATCTTACCAATCAGCTTCTCAGCTGTTTGTTGTTGTTGTTGTTGTTGTTTTAATTCACAAGGTGGAGTTACTATTATTGTCACAGCAGTAAATGAAAGAATGCATGTGAGATATCTTGATACATAAACAAGTTGCTGTTCAGTCAAGTCCAACTCTTGTGACCCTCTTGGTGCACCATAGGGTTCCCAGAGTTGTCATCTTTATAGAAGCAGACTGCCGAATCTTTTTACTGTAGAGTAGCTGCTGGATTGGAGACTTTCCATCAACAGCCAGACACTTTACCACTGCACCCTCATGGTCCTTTGGTAAATAAGTACACAATAGCTGTTACTTGAACATCTTTCCTAGTGGACTCCTGGTGTGGCACTGTTGGGTCAGCACAGTACTTTGAACCTCAAGGTCAGCAGTTCAAACCCACCAGCTGCTCCTTGGAAACCCTATACAAGTTTGCTGTAAGTCTGAACCAATTTGATGGCACTTAACAGCAACAACAAGTGAGCTCAGAATTGCCAAAAAGAGGTCACCATAAATGATAGTGAAGCTTTTGTCTATTTATTTAAAGATTTAGAATCTAATGGAAAAGGGATTGACAACACAGAGCAGGTGCAGGACAATTCTGCATGACTTTTCCCTTAACTCTTGATACCCACTGCCGGCAATGTGGCCAGTGACACTCTCCCTACTAGAAGGAACCTTCTAGAGTTGAGAAAGAAGCTGTGACATCATCCTCCTTCTACTTAAGCTCCTATCACCATTATGGGACAAGTTCTACTAACACGCTGTGTGCTCCTGTGTCATTGCCTCATATGCATGTGGAGTTGCACAGTGAATAAGAAAGACTGAAGAAGAGTTGTTACATTTGAGTTATGGTGTTGGACAAGAATCTGGAAAGTACCATGGGCTGCCAGAAGAACAAATCTGTCTTGGAGGAAATACAGCAAGAATGCTCCTTAGAAGCTAGGATGGTGAGACTTGACTCTAATATTGGGAATGTATCATTAGGAGGGACCAGTCCTTGGAGAAGAACATCATGCTTGGTAAAGTGGAGGGTCAGCAATAAAAGAGGAAGACCCCTGTGAACTGTGTTGGCACAGTGGCAGCAGCAGTGGACTCAAGTGTAACAATGATTTGAAGGATGGCACCGAACCGGGCAGCATTTTGTTCTGTTTTGCATAGGGTCCCTTTGAGTCAGAACCAACTCTGTGTCACCCAACACCACCAACAATGTAATAATAATAATAATAATAATAATAATAATAATAATAAAATGCTTATAAACCCCAGGCACCCCTGGGTTTCAAACCAAATTCAAATCCAATAAAGGCAGCTTTTTATAAGGACAGAAAGCAGAGTATTAACCTAGGCAGCTTTGTAGGACTCAGGAAAAATCATTTCCTCACAATTATCTATTTCTTTGCTTTCCTTAAATGGAGGAGATCTGGTGGGTATGGAATTGAATTACTGAGTCCCATCTCTACATGCAGAAATGTGAAAACACAGTTTGGGCGGAAATAAGGTTAAAAACAAAAATTTGGACTATTTTATATGCCTTTGTTCGTATGTATAATTTCTTATACTTTACAAGTAATTCTGTTCCTTGTCCTTACGTACTTAGATTCTTCCCTATAACCACTTGTTTCTGTCTTTGCAGAGCCGCCCACGCCCATCGCACCTCCTGAACTGCTTGCTGTGGGGGCCACCTACCTGTGGATCAAGCCAAATGCCAACTCCATCATAGGTGATGGCCCCATCATCCTGAAGGAGGTGGAGTATCGGACCACCACAGGCACCTGGGCTGAGACCCACATTGTCGACTCCCCCAACTACAAGCTGTGGCATCTGGACCCTGATGTGGAGTATGAGATCCGTGTGCTGCTCACACGCCCAGGCGAGGGGGGCACAGGGCCACCAGGGCCTCCTCTCACCACCAGGACCAAGTGTGCAGGTAAGAGCCACCTTCCCGACTCCACTTTCAGAGGCTTGGCAAGAGCTGTGAATGACTTATCTGTCACCCAGTCATCCTGAAACTTCTTCAGTGGTTTTATGCTTCCTATTGTAGAAAAAGTATTCGGGGTTTTGGTCTAGCTTCAGAAGACTTTCTGGTTGCTACTGTGACTTTCTAGCTGTGTCATTGAAAGGCTCCTGGTCTGACAGAGTGTGTGATGGGACACTTGATCTGTCTCGCTCAGACTTACTCGTCCCATTTGTATGTGTGAGGTGTCCTAATGCTGACATGTCTCTGAGGGCTCCTGTCTCTACTGTGTCTGTGAGTGTTCCTGGCTTTGTGTACCCTGAGGACTTCTCATTCTACTGTGTACCCTGAGGGCTCCTGGCTCTGACTGTGTTGTACTCTCAGGGTTTCTGGTACTGGCTGTATCTTCAGGGGATTTCTGAGTCCCTGCAAACATAGTGAGCTCTTGGATCTGGTCATTTTCTCAAGGATTCCAGGTGCTGCTTCGTCTTTGAGGGGTTCCTAACTCTGACAATGACGCTACATGGATTCCGGAACTGCCTGTCTCCCTAAGAGCTTTCTGGCTCTATGTACCCCCTGAGGTCTCTTGGCTGCTATCACAGAGTCTGCTGGTTGAACTGTTTCTCAGAGATCCTTTGTATTTTACTATGTCTCCAAAGATTCCTGGCTCCATGTTGTCTGAAAAGCATCTGGCTCCAACTACTGCTCTGGGGTCCCTGGATTACATTCAGTGTCTGCTGGCTGGGACTGTGTCTCAGAGGATTCTTTGTAACCCTCAGGGCTCCTGGCTTATACTGTGTTTCCAATAAGGGACTGCTGGCTGGAACTGCATTTCTAACTGTATTCCTGATGTGCTCCTAACTCTGAATTCAATTTCAGAAACAAAGGACTTGGAGATTGCTTTTTGTAATGCACATTATTTACATTTTTGCCTCTTCCTCCTCTAAAGAGCCAAGTGTGGTACAAGTGTTTTTATCTCCTATCACATGAATGAGCAGAAGCTCAGTGTTTTCAGAGTTTTTGTGGAAGGTCATAGAACTGGGCAGAGGCAGGATTTGTTCTCAGGTGGCCTGATTCCAGTGCCCTTGAATTTGGGTCCCACTGTGATGAGGAAATACAGGCAGAGATGTGTGGGGCCATCCTTGAGTCAGGTGGATCTGGGAAGACTCCAGGGGGGCTCAGTGCACAAGCAGGGGGGCCACAACTTCTCTAGAAGAAGATGCACTGTGGCTTCTGCATGTGAAGGAGGAAGGGCCATGGCGTACAGTGGCCATCGTGGGACAAACAGCAAGGAAAAACACAGTTGGTTTTGTTCAGCGCAAATTTGTTGTTGTTAAGTGCTATCAAGTCAATTCCGACTCATGGAGACCCTGTAAGGGTTTCCAGGTAGTAGTTGATGGGTTTGAACTACCGACCTTGAGGTTAGTAGCCCAGTGCTGATGCTATAGCGCCACACCAGGATTCCTTTCTGTGTTTAGGTTAATTCATTTATATGTAACTAGTGTCAGAAGGACTACTTCCGTAACATATATCTCTGTCAACAGATCCCACATTCAACTATTTCCTACTGTGGCATTCACAAGGCCACTTTTGCTCTCTGTTATTTGTTAAGTGCCTTCGAGTCTGTTCTGACACATAGTGGCCTGGCCCTGTATAGGGTTTCCAAGGAGAGACTGGTGAGTTTGGTCCACTGACCTTGCAGTTCAAACTGACCTTGCGGTCCAGTGCTTATCCTATAGTGCAACCCCAGGACTTGTGATATAGATAATAACAGGATTTGTTGAAAAACCATCTTGTATCTATTTCTTGATGAGGGGGTTATGTGTGTGTTTGTGTGCTTTCATGTATGTGTAATTTTTTGCTACAACATTAACAAATGCTTTAAAAACCTCTAGTGTTTTCAAGCTGCACTGAAGACATGCCTTCAGTGACAATGAAAAAATATGATTAAAAAAATCAATGACACATAAGGGATTGTTGTTCTTGATATTTACTATTGAGCTTACACGTGGGAAAAAAAAAAAAAAAAAAGGCTCCAGGAATTGATGGAATAGCAACTGAGATGTTTCCTGGACCAGATTCAGTGAAGGAAGCACTCACTCGTCTATGCCAAGAAATTTGGAAGACAGGTCCCCGGAGGACCAGCTGGAAGAGATGTATACTTGTGCTTCTTCCAAAGAAAGGCGATATGACTGAATGTGCATGTTTTCAAACAATACCATTAATTTCACACACAAGTCAAATTGTGCTGAAGATAGTTCAGAGACAGTTGTAGCAGTACATAGATAAGGAACTTTCAGAAATTCAGAAGCGGTCATAGAACAAGGGCTATCATTGCTGATAGTTGAGGGATGTTGGCTGAAAGCAGAGAATACCACAATGATGCTTACCTGTGTCTTATGACCTATGCAAAGGAATTGTGCTGTGTGCCTCATAAGAAATTATGAATAGCTTGCAAAGAATAGAAATCCGAAAACACTAAATTGTGCTCATGTGAAACCTGTAAAGTAGACCAAGAAGCAGTCGTTTAAACACAACAAGGGGATAACTGTGTGTTTTAAAATCAGAAATGATGTGTGTCAGGGTTTTTTATCCTTTCTCCATACTTATTCAATCTGTATACTAAGTGAAGAATCCAAGAAACTGGACTATATGAACAAAAAGATTATGTCTCAACATAAAACAAAATTCTTTATAACTGGACCTTGGTAAGTAGAAAAAAGCTTCAATTTGGTGAGCCTTTCATTTTACTTGGGCCTATAATCAATGCCCATGGAAGCAGCAATCAAGAAATCACAGAAAGTGTATTGCATTGGGCCAATCTGCTGCAAAAGACCTCTTCAAAATGTAAAAATGATGTCACTTTGAGGTCTAAGGTGTGCCTGAACTAAACATTGCTATTTTCAATCACCTCATATGGATGTGCAAGTTGGATAATGAATAAGAAAGATCTAAGAAGAATTGGTGCCTTTGAGTAATAGTTTTGACAGAGAATATTGATTATATCAGGGACTGCCAGAAGAATGAATAAATCCTTCTTTTAAGAAGTACAGCCAGGATGCTTCTTAGAAGTGAGGAGGGGGCAGCTTCATCTCACACATACTTGGGACATGTAGTCAGGAAAAGTGCATCAGGGTTGGTGAAGTAGAGGGTTAGTGACTAAGAAGACTCTTGGTGAGAGGGACCGACACAGTGGCTGCAACCAAGGTCTTGGGCAGAGCAATGACTTGGAGGCTGGCGCAGGACCAGGCAGTGTTTCATTCTGTTGTACCTAGGGTTGCAGTGAGTTGCACCTGATTCAGTTGCACCCAACAACAGCGTCATGCAAAGTTACACCATAAACACCCCTGGGCTTTTGGGAAAAAATAGTTTTCAAGAAAACATCAGTGACACATCAAGATACTGTTCTTGGTATTTGTTGTTGAGCTGATATTGGTTCATGGTGACCCATGAACAACAGAAGGAAATATTTCCTGGTCCTGAGTCAATCTTACTATCACTGATACAGCCAAACCTATTGTTGTAGCCACACCATTTTGTGTACCTTCCAGCCTAGGGAGACTCATCTTCTACCAATACCTTGGACAATATTGTCTTGTAATCCATAGGATTGTCATTGATTAATTTGGGATAGTAGTTTGCCATGCCTTTCTTCTTAATCTCTCTTAGCCTGGAAACTTGGCTGAAACCTGACCACCATCAGTGCCTCAACTGGTACATACAAACTAAAATAATCATGGTGCTTTACCTTGAAGAAACCTGACATTTGTAGAAATGGGGGTCCAGATAGGTTGCAGTCTATGAATTATTTATTGTGAAGTGGTAGAAAGAAGGGTGTTTTGAATTGGTGTAAAGTTGATGCGACGTGAACTGAGGAGACGGATAAATATCTGAGGTGTGGGTGTTTTATGTGTTTTAATGTGGATGAAGTTTTCTGCGTCGCCTCATGTCTTTCACACTAAATCATACATAACCCAAACAAAATTTGTCTTCAAATTTTCCCTAACACATCAAGCATGTTGGAACAAATTTGTATTTTCAAAACATGCATTGTAGCAAAATTGAGAGTTAACGGTTTTAGGTACTTCAGTAATCTATCTTTGTAGTACGTCACTGAAGGTCAGTGAGTATTCCTGTTACTTGGGAATTTTCCTTTGAAGGTTATTGAACCACTGTGATGAACAAAATGCTGTTTCCTTGATGATTTTCAATAGCAAGACTTTGGTAAAATTCCTCATTGAAACCCGATGATGAAGCTGATGACTTTAAATGGTCTTGCTGCTAAACTGGGTAATACCGTATCTCAACTTTGAAATGCAATATTCTTCCATAAAAAATAAGTTGATTTGATCCTGCCAATGATATCTTTCTTTCCACAGGGTAAGTCTGAAGGTTTCCAGGAGTTTTGATCTTTATAAATGATATTCAAAGTACTTGAGTACTTTAGTCTCCATGGACTTATTTGCTGATGATCTTATAATACATTTTGAAATTCAATCGCAAGCTGATCATCTCAATAAAAATTTACAACCATTGCAAACCATTGCCATGACTGTGGAATGGATTTTACATGTTGAAAATACAATTGTCTCACTATCGCTATAAAAATTATGAGATGAAATGCAGTTTGTGGTTTTATATTTCAAAAAATGTTGGTGCTTAAGTAAGCTATAGCTCAAATGTTGAGTACTCCACATTTTACAAAATGTGCCATCAAGAAGATAATGCTTGTTCCCACATTGCCAACAATGGTAGAATGTTGTTTGCTTCACAATTAATTTTTAAGAAAATTCCAGGGCTGGTAATTCATTTGTGGATGTTGTTTATTGAGGTTGGTAGTGTGAGTTTTCCTGTCTTTCTCTATTCTATTATTAATCACACTGAAAATGCACTCATTATTTTGCAAAACAGAAAATGAGAGAGTGGGGAAGGTATAATTTCTACCCTAAGGAATTTATAGTCTTGGTTAAATT